TTTAAAGTATTATGATAAATATGACTCTTTTTAATAGTTTGCTCCAGTATACTTCAAATATTACACAAACAAATAAATAGTCTTCTTTTAATGCTTGAAACTAATCTGTGTTAGTTTATAAGTAATAATTCTGCTAAAATGGGAAAAAAGAAGATTGGATTACAAGTCCCCTTCCAAAAGAGCCAAATGTGTATATATGGAAAAGCGTTAAAAAGATGAACTTTATATTAAAGCAAGCAGTATCAGTACATTTACCATATAAATATACTCCTAAGTCCATTCCTTGTTGAATGGTTACTGAAAAGACTGAAAAAGATCCATATCAAGTTAATGAATTCTACTCTGCTGACTTACAGAAAAAGAATATAAAATAGAAAAATCTACATATATTATTTCAAACTGCTTATTAGATAGACTTATCTATAATATATATGTTAGGCACAAATTACATTAAAATAACATTTACAGAACTGCAAAGGAAAAGTTTCACAAGTTAGAAAATGGGAGGGGGGRATGRAAAAAATKAAGRTTGGCTGAGCAGCCTCAGCTCACCCCTTCTGCTTAGGTAGTACTTTGTGATCTTTATTTAAATCACATTGTGGCAGAGCAGAGGTTGGAATTCAATGCAGAAGAACGATGGTAGGAATCTAGAAGACCTGGAATAAGGGTAGATCCCTGACTTTCACCTACAAGGTGGCAAAAGCCTGATGCCACAGTACAGTCCTGAAGCCAGCAGAACACACTGCTGCTTCATTAAATCCCAGACCTAGACAACCGTCAGAGGAATTTGTGGTTTATAATTCCCAAAGTACAACATAATTAGGATCAGTCTAATCTGCTTAACGTCATACTTGATTCATTGCTACTGACAAGGTTGAATAAACCCCAAAAATCTTAGAATTGTGGTGGTAAATCAGTGCCTAAAAGGTGGGGGGCTTAAAAACACAAAGCAGGGGTTTCAAAGCATTGATAATTTTTTTGAGGACCATAGTCACCAATTTGCTGAAAGAGCGAACTAATGGGTCTGGGTAAAAGGACTGTAAACTGGCAAGAAAAAATAAGGGTACAGGAAGAAAGAGAAAAGAAAAGAAAAAAAAAAAATTAAAAAAACCAAAGCAGCCAGTACACAAGAAAATCAGTATGAAAAATACATCAATAGAAGAAAGAACAGAGGGCACCAAACTGGGATTCAGTAGGCAGGTAATTTAAGTGTGTTTCTAGAAAGTGGCAGGAAAGATAAAAGCAAAACTCAGCAAAATGAAATAATGAGAAGTAATGAGAATTGTACGAGGCCACATGTTATTCCTGTTCCAGTGAATTAAAATGTTCTGTTTGGGAYGTAACAGAAAGACTCAGAAAACCTTACTGTGGGTTAAAACTAAATAAAACTAAATGTAACTAAATGAACTAAATGAAATGTTAACAGAAGAAAGCCAGTGAGAAGGAAGAGTGACTACTACATATGTACACACAGGAGAAATCCCATACTCTGAGGTAACCATTGAAGTAGGAAGGAAAATTATGTTTTTAAATCTCTGGGTAAAAATAAAATCAGAGAGAGAAAGAAAGCTTTCTCTAAAGATTAACAGCATAACATACATGAGATGAATTCTGGAACATGACAGCACACACTGAAATTAGTTGAAGAATCATTAAAAGCTATATTAATTGTAATACAGAAATTATCTTAGAAATGASAATATAGAGAGCAGAACCTGTTATTCTCAAATTCATTCAGCAGATATGGTTCCAAAGGTAAGGACTAAAGCATTGAGATGAGGAAATTGTCACTCAGATCCAATTGCCTACACACTAAATGCAGGCACAATGACTGAGGTTCAGTTTCCTTTCTGGAAACAGATACTCGAAAATAATCAGTTTCAGTGCTTACTTCTTAAATACAAAAATTCTGCAGTTTGCTAATTCTATCCAAGTTGTGTCTTCCACTGGAGGTAACTTCAGTGACATGGCATGCATTCAGTGGAAGTCCCAAGTAGTGGAGAAGCTTCAGAGGGCAAGAAAAAAATCCTAAAAATCTTTTTGAAAAGACACAGGATATGTAAATCCACCAAATTTTCACCGAAATTACATTGATTAAGTGAGGCAGCAGTGCCTCGGTCAGTGATTTTATTTTTCAGATGTATTTTAATTACAACCAAACATCTGCTTCCAAACCAGAGTGGTGCTTTGACTGGCTCCTACTTATTGGAAGTTGACTCTAAGTTTCCACAAAGATTTTTATTTCAAGAGAAAGAATTGCAAGRAAAAGGCATATACACATCAGAGACTATTTTTGGAAGCACGTGTTCTCTTAAAGGCTGAAGTTTTACTTTGCTTCTATAAAGTATCAGAGTTAATCAGCTTTTTTTGAAAAACAGAAGTGTTTGGTGTTTGAATGTTCCACCAAGTACGTGTGTCAATGCCACATTTTCATGTTTGAATAAAGAGATAGCAAAAAAGAAGAGTTTTTGTGGAAATAAATTAGTTTCCTTTTTATTTCTGTYTCTCCCATCTCAAAGTTTTGAAGATTTACTTAATTTCAAAGCTGAGGGCCACAAACACCAAATCCACAACATGTTTTTAATGATGTTTTGGTGTAGCAGTAGATTTTACCTCTCAGTGTCTGTAATTGATATAAGCAGAACCTTGCCACCTAAGATACTGTTCAAGWATGTTTTAAAAAAGAAAGGAATTCTTTGAATTTATTTATATAGCTCTGCCACCTGGCATATCTGTATGAAACTGTAGCTGTAATGTCCTGAAAATACCTCCTGATGTCATAAAACGTGCCCTTTATAAAGGAAAGATTCTCTTGAAGTATCAAATTTCTATGTTGTTTTGTTCYAAATCTACACAAYTTCTTYATGCAGCTAAAATRTCTTCCATGTACAAGCATTTCCCAYCCTAAAATTCATCTTTATTCCCCTAAAGTTTATATTTATTGAAGGCTACGAAGCTTCTCTAAAAACATCTAAGAATTCCTTGGCCGTGTTTTCATTGTCCTCACTTTTCTCTGCCATCATACGTTTTCTTAATTTTAAAGTTAATAGCATCAATTAATGGTTTTGAATTAGACCTCATTTTTGTGACACAATTCCAATTTAAAATGCCCCTGCACAGTGACCTGGCCACAGCCCTCTGTGAATTCAGCAAAGGCTATGACCTCTTGCAGTTGTCCCTTATTGTGACCTCCTTAATTGCACATATTAGGAGACACCAGCGAGTCAATAGCCATCAATCTCTTTACTCCATTCAGCTTTTAAGGTCTTGTTTCAGACTGCACAACACACTAGAGAGTTGATTTTTACTCCTAGATCAATGGCACTTAAAYATATTAAACATTTTCATAAACACACAGCAGTCTGATGTCCCATCAAACTGACTGTGAAAAATATTATYGTGTGCTGCCTCTTGTATGTAATGTCTGTGTAGAACAACCAAGGGGCCATGTGCATTTTGGCCAGATGCTCTTCAGCAAAGTCATTACTTAGAGAAGATCAATAATGCTCTCCCTCAGTAGGAGTCACACTGACAATGCTTMTGATAAAATAAGAAAAATAGACGAGCTGCAGGTTGTTCCACAGGATGCATGGCTCTGTCTCTACTAGCATRTTGACCAAAATCCAAGCATTGGCAGACACATTTCAGCTGTTCCTGCTCTCTCAGATCTCCTTATTGCTGTCTATTTTTTTTTGCATATCTATTAGGCTAACTTTTCTCAAGAACAGACTGTAGTAAAGCAGAATACTTAGTGTATTGGTTTATTAAAATCCTTCCAATGCGAAGAGCCACACACCAGAAAATTTAAAATTGGTGAAAATGAYCTTACACAAATCAGTCTAAGGTGTAGATAGCTTTTCTGGAGCAATTCTGTGTGAAGTTGAGCAACTTATGTGGATAGCTCAAAATATTTTTATTTTTCTACCTTTTGAGGGAAGGAACTCCTGCTTCTACAGAGAAATTCAATTATTATTGCTCCTTATCAGGTCTGAAGTTCTGCTACCCAATACAYCACGTCTTCCTGCACCTTTTTCATGGAACTGCAGATCCCATAATGTTTCTTCACTCACAGGAGTTTTCATCTTGCTTTGGTGGCAGTTTTTTGCACAGAACTTGCCTATTTAAATTGGAATACATTTTCTGGCTTCCAGAGTTCTGGTGCTGTCGTGTGATTTTATAAAAATGGTAGTAAAAAGAGGGTATCAGTTCCTAGATGCCCTTACATAAATATTCTCATATATATATATATATATATATATATATTTTCTTAATGGTCCATCACCATTTCTGATATGCATAAATATATGCATATCTGTCCTGCACTTATATATCTGGATAACTGTCCTGCACTTCACTTTGCTTGGATACCATCAGCTTTCACCTCTCTTCCCCCTTTCAAATACGTGTTGGCAATTGTATGGCAAATTACTAAATTAATTCATGACATAATAATAGCAGTTTAAAACCTTTTAAAAAAAATTATAAAAATGCTTCTCTTTCTAGGTCCTTATTTTTTTCACAATAGTTCTGAAAACKAAATACTTTATTTTAATTTCCTCTACAGAGAAATTCCATAAGAATTGGATTGATATTTTTGGCACTGACCAATTATTAATTTTTTTCCAGATACAGTTCACATATGTTTTCACTCCACTGCGACTTAATTTTTGCTTGAAGACTTTGAGTTTATAAATTGGAAGCTGGCCGTCAAGTGTCTTGATGCAACAACATAGAGCAAGTTAAATCCTTACCCAAAGTGGATGATATAAATTATCCTGCATGCACTCTCTATGAAGACAATCAGGGAGCACAGAGACCCAGTGTCACCAGTAAGAAAACACCATATTTTTACCTAGAGTCAGATTTCAGACATAATTTCCACCTAATAACCTATAAAATTACTTCACAGGCTCAAACTTTGTTTTCGGGTGGGCCACGGGATTTGTGACCCCAAAACAGCAACAAAGGTTAATGAGCAAGAGATTCACAAGCTCAATTCGTGACAAATATCTGTGTTTACAAAAGTGCTCATCCATGGCTCTGGTCCTGCTTTCGACTCTGAGATGATACACCATGACTGACAGACGTACTACAAAGTTTCCATGAAAAACAAAATGGCTCAGGAAAGGGATTGTTTTGCATCATTTGACTGCCATCCCATCATCCTGCTGTTCCAGACACTGGAATCCCCAAATCATGGATCTGTGGTGGAGAAAGCTTTACTAATCTTTACTATAGCTGTGCAATTGGTGCCAATGAGGGCCATGGGATAGGTGACTCACTAATCTCTTAACAAAAGATTTATGTCTCAAACGCAACCACAACCATGAGCAATATATTTTGAATGATTTATTATCAGTGTAAGTGATGGCAACTAACCAATTAAAATGAGAAGTACAATCCTGAAAGAGCTCCAGTAGTTGTCATTAACATATCTCTGGCATATAATCACAGGTAGCCACAGGGAACACRCAGAGCCTGCACATAAAGACAAAACCATGTGTGGAAAATGGGAAACATTCTCACCWCTGCACAGGCATTGGAGTGAAAGCATTTTTTTTTTGGTTGAGCACTATACCCTCTGATCAAGGGGTATAGTACAGAAAACCTCCCCAAAGAGCACTGTTAGTGTGCCTTTGCTCAGTTCTCCTCCGAGCAACATGAGGTGATGATAATTTGTTGTTTGCTTATCATCAAATATGGCTTCACTTCCAACAAACCTGTTCATGAGCTGCCTTATTACAGTGTACKACAACAAAAGTATTATCTCAGCGATATTACTCAGAGCACTTAGATAATCATTTCTTTGTGACAGAATCTCACCTACCCTAATACCCATGAGCCAAAGCATAAAGGATCCTGTCATTAACTGTAGTGATTACAAGCCACAGATCAAATAATATCCCGAAAGAAACCACAAACACCTTTGCAGCCACTTCTGTTTCAGCAAAAAACAGGAACCACTAGATGAAAACATGTGGAACAGCTATATCAATCCATATGACACCAAGTTCAAATCACACAGATCAATTATTGTGTTATCAAAGTTGTTGAAATGTTTTATATTTTGTCATCAAAAATTTGTTTTGTCACAGGTTTACCTGCGTACAGAATGACTGGGTTTAGGATGTTCCTTGAGTTGGATGGACCTGCAAACTACCTTTAAGAATTTAGCATAGCTATATAAATAGAAGTTCATAAAATTTAGGCYTAAAATAGCAGTGCTGATAAGAAAAAATATATGGGGTTTTAAAAATTATGTTTCCCTTTCCAAACATTCTGTGAAAGCATATATTTGTCCTTCATAAATAATTTGGGGCACTGAAACATGAGGAGGAAGAAATACTTCTGAAATCAGAAAAAAATCACCTTGAGGGAAAAAAATAAATATGGAGATAATTACCTTTAAGAAGAATGTCTTTAGATTCTGCACCAGTGAAGTTCTTTAACAGGATGGAATAATATCCAGATGCTCTTTGATCTGTTTAAGAAAAGGATAAGGTTGTATTGCTGAGAGCAGAACAGAGAGCTTGATGACACCTAGCAGGTCTGTCCAGATGATGTTAAAGTAAACCAATATTAAAAAAAATTATACAGACAATTCTTTAAAAGGACCACAAGGAAAATAGCATGCAAAACAAATTGTTCATGAGTTTGCACAATAAAATATTGTGCAGAGATGCAATTTAAGTACTGTATAATTCAGGCTGAGCTGGCGATTTCGTTATGAAATCTTTGTGCTCAGCTTTAGAAGGAAAACACTAGCACATTTTGATCAGACACAAAACTCTTGGGCTTTTCAATTTCTAGAAACACTGACCTTTGGTCTTTTCAGGATATAAAGGTACCATATTTTCCCCAGTTCATTTTGGTTTATGTTCACAGTATCCAACACCTGTCCTTCAGATAAAATTTTGCCAGTGTTTATGTTATTCATGACAAACTCTCTTCATCTGCTGGGAAGCACTGAAGCCATGCTGATGTCCAGTAAAATTGCTGCCTGTGGTTGCCATACTGATACCTCTCCACACTGACTAAATTATTTTACCACTCTATATAGTAGTTACAAACAGCAGGTCCTTTGAAAACTGTTTGAAAGAAATGTTTGTTTATTTGGTTGGGTCTTTTCACAGGGCATTAACYCACAGGGGTTGTTGAGGTTCTGATGCTCAAAAGTGAAAGCTTCAGTGTGTATAGATCAACTGTTGACTAATCATTAACCCCTTTTCAGCCCAAAATTTATGCCAACAGTAAACTGGGATCTTAAAAACATAATAATATATTACCTGTGTTAGCAGAACCCAAGGAAATAACAAAGTTCCTAAAAGTGGTCACATTCTCTTTMATTGGCTCAAAAATACTGTCTACTACTGAATTTTCTGCTACACGTTTTCGTCTCTTCTTCTCCCTCTTCTCAGTCTCAGAAAAAAATTCAGAAAAACATAACTTCTGGATGGAAAATACCTTTCTTTTTTTTTTTTTTTCAAACCTCTCAAATTTATCCATGAGCCATCARTTCACAATTGGATGTTAAATACCAGCCCACACACTCAAAATAAAATACTTCTCAAATCAACAAGGTGTCATTCAGATATATTCCAAAACCTTTCAGTATAGCAGTGGTTCAACCTATTTAAGCTAAAAGCAGATTTTTCTGAATGGCTAAAAATGATGATCAGCATCACAGTTTTACCCACCGATGCCTGAAAAGTGCAGCTCATGTTCCTTCAGAGAATGCACAGTCTATTGTTTTCATTGAAGCCTAATTTTCATTAAAGAATGGTCTTGGTTTTAGGTGTTTTTAAAAATAGTGCCCACAATATTTGCATCATTCCTCAGAAAAGTTCCTACTTAATTGAGGCATCTCAAATTTTGGCCCTCTGGCCCCCTCTTGGTAATATTTTAAGGCAAATATGTATTGAAGAAAAGGTTCACTAAGTCATTTCCTTGCTAACATAATTTCTAATGATTCCTGTCATATAATCACGCATACCTTTATAAATATATTCTGAGCAATAAACCATGATTGAAATTAAGTAAAATACACTCTTAAGGTTGATTTAATCTCTTTTACCGAATAACCATTAAAAATCAAATTCTCTCTCCCAGGATGCTCAAGTCAAAATGACAAACATGATAATAAACATTTGGTAATAAAAATAAATTAAAAATCAAAGCTTTATGATATGCTTCCCTATCAAAATGAAAGTGGCAAATTGAAAACAATAATGATGCTCATCCACAGTTACAGTTCCAACACAACACTTMAGAGTCTGATTTACAATTAGTAGCAGCTTGAAAATGAGCCGTAATTTTACATTTTAARCTGCTACTGCTCAATCCATCAAGTATTAACATCTTGATGTTGATTGATGGCATTCTCTCACGCTGTTTCTCTTGATGAGGCTTCACAGAAACTGAAGCAACAATAATCACCATGTTATGAGATTGCACACCTCCTTCATGCCCAGCTCAGTTGCTACCACTGTGTCATGGGCAGTAGGTATTTGGTGGTCAGAGAAATTTTAGTCACTTCACCAGGGTATGAGTACAGGACACACACTTTGGACTGGTATTGGTACAGGTTTCGAGTACCTGGAACAAGTGGCCTGAATACAATCATTAACTGCAATAATCAGTTTTCCAACTGCCTTGCTATTTCCTAAGAAACAGCAGTGACTGAGYGATAGCATTCCATTTTCTTAAGGAACTTTTCCTATCAAAAAAGAGCTCAGGGACTGAGATCCACTGGAGTTTTTATCCTTTGTGCCAGCTGAAGGAATAACACCCAGCAGTATACTGGTTGGTCTAAGCAATTTCCCTAGTGGCATTTCAGCTCTGCTCCTGCTGCTCAGTTTGTCTCAGGTTTTGAGGTTTCCCATCCCATCCACACTGCTAATACTCACCCTGCATGTTTTATTCACACTGACCCACTTGCTCTCAGTATTGTACCTTTTAATGGCCAAAGAGACTAAATTGCCTTTTCTTCCTTTTCCACTTGTTCTGTTGAGCAGTTTCCATCTGGATTTGCAGAAGAGCAACAAGAAATTAAAAACTAGAAAATCTGGATGTGCTGAAAATAGTACCTGTTACATTGGTTCAGACTATAAGAAATGCAGTTTCCTTTAATTTGCACAAAAGCAGTCAACTGCAAACACCCTTTTATTGCTATTTCTTCTAAGTGTGGATATCACTGAGAACATTTGCAGCTCGGCCATTTCAAAGAAMACCCAGGCCAGTTAATAAAMTTTTTACCTGTGGGATGATTGAGAMTAAAACTTTCTTACATTAACATTTTCAGGAATCTTTAATGTATTAGAACAACAGGTGCAAACACTTCAATTTAAATAGCAAGAATAAAAAGAAAAAGAAAAAGGAAAATGCACTTATAAATATGCCCATTGTTGCAGGCTATTTCATACTTTTGTTCTTTAATATAAACAACATCTTGGTGCAAATCTTTCCAAAGAAAGACACAGTTTTTAAACTGGAAAAAATGTATGATTTTTGCCATATATAATACTATGTAAAAATAAATTAAAAACTTGAAATGGAATATTTAATTATATGATTGAAATTTTCAATAAAATTTTAAATGCATTTAATGGTAGGCAAAAATGCCATTCCATCCTAAATATTATTTACTCATTTGAAGTGGCATACCTAGACTACAAAAAATAATTAAAATATAAAACCAAATTAGTAAATATTAGACAGGCTCTTACACAATCTAACAAATTGATTTTGTGCATTATATTATGGCTGGATTAATTATTATAAAACAAACAAAGAAATTGTTTATTAATGGTGCTGAAAAAACCCACAGATTTTATTTCGAGTCTCTTCCTAGTTCTCAAGAAACTTGGACATTACCATCAGTGGATGGGTGATGAGATCTTTAGTGCTTTGAAAATGGCTCCTGTAAAAACTTTCAAAGGAATGATCTAGCTCTTAAAATGGCAATATGGAATAGCTGTGACTAAACAAGCAAGAAAACACCTTCAGGGCTTAAATCAGCTACACCCTTTTGTTTGAAGCCACAAGGCCTGTCATTAAACAGAAAAGTTTTGCTTCTCCAGCACAACAGAATCACCAGCAATGCATTCTCACATCTCACCTCCTGTTATTACCTTTTCACACATAATTGATTTCACACATTTCTCAGGAGCCTAAGCAGGAAGCTGTTGGATTCCCCAATAAATAACACGCCCTGCCCTGCACATCTCTGATGAATGAATTCCACATCCTCAGCTACTGCCATGCTCCTTCCTCTCTCAAGCAAGCTTTTCCTTCAATGACTCCTAATATAAATACTTCTTTATGCTGTTTCAGACCAGACATATATCAATACATGTATATTCCTTTCCTCCTTTAATTTATCCCCATTTCTTAATCTTTGTGAAAGAAACGAAAAGGAAAGTGGCTGTCAATTTCTGGGAAAAAATCTGATTTGCAGTGTGCACACAGAAGTTACATATAGTGCTCTAAGGCCCCAAAACTTGCACCATGAGACTTTTAAAAGGACTTTATAGTTTTTTTTATGAACTCTGAGTTAGAGGCATTGGAGAAATACAGACCAGATATTCTCAAGTGGTCAAAACAACAAAAAAAATCTTTACTGGCAACTTTAGAAAATCAAAGAACTTTGGCAAAAAGTTTAGAGCAGCATTCAATCAACAAAAAAACATTTCTCAAAGCATTCATTTAGCCCATTCAACTTCAAAAACTCTAACCCTCTTTGATTTTAAGCTACTCAAAAATTCTGAAGAGAAAGAAAAAAGGAAAGAATAACAGAAAATATAAAGGAAATAACAAATATAAGCTACCACTCCTGGTTCCAGTGGTGTTCAGCTGATAGAAATTCCAAGAGGAGGTAGGGTCAAGACATATTGTCTTTACTTTTTATTTTTAATAATCCATAAGTCTACTATAAGAATTCAATTTTAAAAAGTAAACAAACAAAAATAGAAGGRGGAGAAATTAGAAAGTAGTTTCAGAAATCAGACTAAAATAGAAAGAAAATATAGGAATCTAAAAATCCTCCAAAGGGAAAAGATATGCAATCAGAGCTGCACACAGGTACAGAGGATCACCTGCAATACCATGGTGGCTGTAGGGAGGACACTGTAGCATGAGTTACCTGACTAAGGAATTAAAATGCTCTTATGAGGTGCTGGACATGGCCTGAAATCCATGTGTGAACAGCCTGACAGGATCTAATACTACATTTTCCTTTATTAACAGCATATCGGGATGTATAATTTGGGTTAAACCCATAAATAGGGCAATTACTGATATGGGGAACAACACCTGCATGCAGTATTGTGCTAAAAATACATGCTGTGTCAAAACACCACAACCAAATGGATTTTGGTATTCTGTAAACACCTAAATTTGTGTGTCCTCATGCATTGGAAGCTCAGTTGTCTGGGCTGTGGGCACAAGACGATGCTGTTGTGCTGCAAATCCTGGACTAAGACAGCCAGACATCTGCCAGCCACGGAACAAGGGACAAGAGGTGACTCTGACATGAAGAACGCAGATCCCACATTCATTCTCACTCACTATCCACAGAAACAACAGTGAAACAGCTGGATAGACCCCAGGGGAGCAGAATGAAGCAAGAAATGTGACAAAACCACAAGACATGAGARAGAAAAGCCAAGGCTGTCAAGAAAATGACAGAGCCTGCAACTGGACTGAGAAAGCTCCAGAGCAATTACAAACCTAAGTACAACATGGCAAGCAAAGAAAAGAAGGGGTTTTTAAATGCTTCCAAGAAGCAGATGAGACCAAAAAATCCCCAAGAAGCAGCAGGTGCTTTTACAAAAAGCAAATACAAAAAGCAAAAGCTTTTTCTAATTAATGAAAAACCCAAACTTTTTTTTTTCTGAATTAATATTGTCTGTATAACCGACGATCTGAAGCATTATGACTTTAAATTTGTGAAACAAGCACTATCCCTACCCATATATCCCTCYGAGTCAAAAAATCATTCTTTAAATTACATGCTGATGACACTGGGACTCAAAGCCACCTAATCATCCTTGSTCCCCTGTCATGAGAGAAAAGAGATCCTATATGACATATGTAGCCATATAATCAAGATATCTATCAAGAACTTTAATAAAGTAAAAAATTAAATGT